AGCTGCCATTATTTGCAGAAAATGATTATCAACATTAAAAATAAAAATCTGTAAAATAATATTTCTTATATAAAATCAGTTGTTATAATACATCAGCAACAATAAGAAAGTGGAGCTTTAAAACATTACTATGTATAATAGCAACAAAATATCTAAGATACCAAAAGATAATAAAAGATGAATATGAAAATTATAGTAAAATAACAACTTTATGAAAGACACAAAGGGAAACTATACACATACACACAGACACACACACACATCTATATATACTATGTTCATTAGCAAGAACAAGCCATATTGTAGAAACAATTTTTTTTCAAATTAATCTTTATGTCCAGTACAATAACAATCAGAATCCTAAGTGTTTCTTAGTATTTTTGCTGTAGTTTGTTTTTTTTAATCATGTTTTGTTTTTACAGAACTTGGCAAGCTCAGTCTAAAATTCATATGCAAGAGCCAATTAAACCCAGCAAGGGATTAGAATAACTAAAATATCTTTTAAAAAGATGATAGAAGGATTATCCCTAGCAGATATCAAGATGTATTATAAAGTGATGATAATAAATATTCTCAGACTTAGTGAAAGACACCAAAGCTTGGAAACTTGATATTTGACAGATATGCTATTACAACTTAGTGAGGAGACAATAGATTATTTAATGAATAATCCTTCCCATATAGAAAAAACATTAGATCCCTACCTCACACCACATGCAAAGCTTATTTACAGCTGTATTAAAAATCAGATGTGAAAAACAAGATCTTGAGATTCAGAAGATAATATGGGAGACCGTTGAGTTTGGGTAGGGTTTCTTTAAAAAAGCATCAACTTTAAAGAAGACACCAATAAACTTGACTCCACAAAATTTAAAACATTTGCACTGCAAATGACTATAAATGAAGCTGAAAGGCAGGTAGAAGGTATTTTCAATTAATATAACTAGCAAAGATTTGTGTCCAGAATTTGTAAAGACCACAGCCATTCACTCCTAGGTATATCTTAGAGAAATTTTTGAATATTCGTATAATGCAAAATAGAGAAAAATGTTCACTGAAATCTTTTTAATTTTTGGTAATTATAAGCAATTGAATGTTCATTAAGATAATGGAAAAATGAATTATAATTTAATACACTGGAATATTATACACAGAAGGTAAAATAAATACATAGAGATAATATAAAATAATGGAAAATTAAATAATTTTTGGAAAGACATAAACCACAATGTTAAATTTTTCTAATGTGAAAAATTCTATTAAATATATTTTAGACAAGAAAATGTCTAAAATATGACATGAAAATGGAAAACTTACATGAAAATGGAAAACTCCAAATCCAAGATAATAGTTACCTTTGGTGAGAAAAGAATTTGGACAGGATCAAAGAGGGAAACTTTAATTGCAATGTTTTATTTCTTAAAAATCAATCAAGCAAAAACATTAGTAGCGTATATGACAAATTCTAAACATCCTGTCAGTATGTGTGATGTTATTTTTTCTCATATATGTTTAAATACTTTATACATATTAATAAAAGAGAAGGGAAGGTTAAATGGCCAAATTTCTTTCCCTTGCCGTGTATCCCAGAGAATCATAGTTCTTCTGACCCCTAGGCCAAGGTTCAGCTCAGCAATTGGTAGAAAATTATGCTGCAAATAGGTAGGTATTTTGTGTGGGCTGTATAACTACTGGGTACCATGTTGTTTCTTTGGAAAAATGCCTTCTGAGTTCCAAATAGCATACTTTTGTGTCATAATAATTTAGGGATTATGTACTTTTATAAATATTTTAGTACCAGTGGCATCTTCCTTTAACAAGAAAAAGGCAAGTGACTAGTAAAGTAGTTGACAAGGCTGTGAAAGGATTATGACCCATTCAATGTTTTGCTAATGGTTCTGAGTTACTAAAGATAGTGTAAAGCTTTCTGAATCATCACCAGAAGTGAAAATACTGCCTAGCATTGTTTTGTAGCCACTATTACCAGTTTCCAAAGATTAAAACAGAGTTTATTTAAATGGCATATTCACTTAGCTAGAGTCTTTCTCCATTAATTCTGACTGGTGTTCATCAGAGTAAGTCACTGAATCCCAAAAGACCCTGGCCGTGTTCTCCAGCTATTCCACAGAAGAAGAATTTCCTGGGCACAGCCTCTGCTCTGGAAGTTAAGAAGTAAGTGCATTATTAGTGTTAATAGAAGTTTCCCTTTTGAAGTAGAACAATGAACATTTTCCTTCCTTAGGTCTGGTGTCTTCAGACTGGATTGCTTATAAGATTATTATTATTATTTCTCTGAGTTATACAATCCAACTTCAGCGATAGTGGTTTGGTAGTAAGTGGCCTTTCTCATAATTAGAAAATAATCTTATGACAGGATAAAGCTTAAAATGGCTCTCTTTGTAAAATGAACATGCTTTTGCTTGCAAGATTAACCCAATTCCCACTGCTATACCTGGCAGCAGAATTGCCCAATCAGTTTGGTAACTGGATTGAACTTTTTCTACAGGAATCATGTAGCTATGCAGCTTCAGAAACACAAATCCACTCCCTCATTGCTGGATTTCTGACAGCTTTTCTGTAGAACAGTTTGAAGAGTAGAGAGCCCTGTTTCTGAGACAGAGAAGTGTTTTCACACCTGATGTGTAATTTCACACCTTGTGTTTCTCAGCAGATAACTGCATAAAATAACACATCAAACTGGAATAGAAAAAGATCAACATAGAAAACTGCAGGTTGTAATTTGTTTCCTATTTTACAATGCTCTTGGAGAGAACAGTAAATTACGGAGATCTGCGTTTATGCTTTAAAAAGTTTGACTGGTCATTAGGTGGGAAAATGAGCAGTAAACACTAATCAGCTTGCTGCCTGCATTGAACAGAATGTACAGAATGACAGAATTTGGGAAACACCCTAACATTTTGATTTTTTAAGAGAATAGTGTGCACATGTCAATAGTAAAATTTGTAGATAAAGGTCAGGACATTTATAAATTGATTTTAATAAAAATGTAATTGAGGAGATAATTATTTTATGATGGTTCCATTCAGAAATTTTAGCAAAAGGAGATCATGTGGGTAAAATTTGTATGTTTTCTTTGCTTTTTACAATGAGGCTGGTCATTGTTTTCTGGCATTCTAATGAAGGGGTTATACAATGAGGAGGTTTAGCTTCATTGTACAAGCTTGAAAACTTGAGATGGAAAGAAAAAGAAAGTTGAGCTTCCTGACTAGGCATGAACATTCATTGTAAAATATTTATTGAAGGTCTAGTGCATGGTAGGCATGAGCTAGGCATCAGAGGTACAATGGTTAATAAGGCAGTCCCTCTCTCTACCATTGGGAAACTGTGTCTTTGCAGATGAGCAAATAGGCAGTGATAATACTGGTGATAAGTGCTGAGACAGGCTAAAACTAGGTTTTAATGGAGACTATGGGATGGTTAGGTTATCAGAGCTGGTAGGAGTGAGGGAGAAAGGTCAGAAAGGTCCAAATATTCCCAGATAAAGTGATATCCAAGCTGAACTTAATGAACAAAAGTCATAGGAGGCTGAGCATCAGTTGGGATGTCATAGCATGGGGAGCATGTACAGATGAGAAAGGAAAGAGAACAAACTGGGCTGGAGGAAAGGAGGAAGTTTGATGTAGTAGAATGCAGTGTATAATGGCAGCAGTGGTAAGCAATGAGACTAGAAGATAGGGCCAAAGAAGAGAGTCTACACCAAGAAATTGAGCTTTTATCCTGAGGCTAGTGGAAAGTATTGAAGACTTAGTTTATGTTTATTAGTGAGAGTGACATGGCCAGATCTGCGTTTTACAGAGATCGTTCTGGCAACCCCCTGACTAGGAGGTCAGTGAGGAAATGTGCGGTAATATAGGTGAGAAACGCTGGTGACCTGAGCTTAGGTGTACACAGAGTTCAGAGGCACTGGGGATGGAAGAAGTGGGTAGGCTTGGGAGTTGTTTGGGAGGTAGAATCAACAGAACTTGGTGACTGATTGGGTGGACTGGGAATGAGGAAGTGAGTCTTGTTAAAAATGAGGTTCTGATTTCTGACTTGGATAATTGGGTAAATAATGCTACTATTCACAGGGATGGGGAACACTGGAACAGCAAATGTTTAGAGTTGGGGACATATTGAGTGTGAGACGTATGTAGGATTTCAAGAGAAGTGCAGTATTCAGTTGGATCTTGAGTTTGGGAGAGAAGTCTAGCCCAGACCTATGGACTTGGTAGATGCCACTGAAACTATGGGAGTGGATGAGGTGGTCCAAAGGATATGTATGTAGACAGCCTGGGCAGCATAGGGAGACCCTATTTCTACAAAAAAAATTTTTTTAAATTAGCTGGGCATGGTGATACATGCCTGTGGTTCCAGCTACTCAGGAGGCTGATGGGGGAGGATCGCTTTGACCCCAGAAGTCAAGGCTGGAGTGAGCTGTGATCATGCCACTGTACAGCCTGGGCAAAAGAGCAAGACCCTGTCTGTCTGTCTGTCTGTCTGTCTGTCTGTCTGTCTGTCTGTTTCTCTCCCTCTCCCTCCACCCCACACATGAATATGTAGAGAGTGAGAAGAGATTTCTCCAATTTAGGCATAAAATAGCAATTTGACTGTGAAAAAAACCATGTAGAGCAAAATGTGTATATTTATCTTGTTACATAAATAAATGCAGATGAAGAACTGTGCCTGCCCACAAACACCATTGCACATATGCCTGAGCACTTACGTATACACGCTGTGCATGGAGAGGTGCTAATGAACATCAGCAGTGTGTGGTGGACAGTGAGCCACATGAAACATTAGGCATTCAAGGTAATAATTCCCTTCCTTAATAATTCACACAAGATGTGTTGCCCAACAGCAGAAGCCAGGCTTAAGGATACTGATCCGTATGTTGAAAAGAGAAATTTGTAGCCCATATAAATGTTACAACTAATCTAGCCAACAGAGAGCACTAATGTTTCTCATCTTCCCCCTACCCCCCCCTTTTTTTTTTATCTTAGATACATATGGAAAACTCTTTCTCCTCAATTCTGTGGGTCAAGAGATGTCCCGCTGCAAGACATCCATTCGGCGTGGTCAACCCAATCCCGTCTATAAGGAGACCTTTGTTTTCCAGGTGGCCCTCTTTCAGCTGTCTGATGTCACGTTGATGATTTCCGTTTATAACAGGCGTACTATGAAGCGTAAAGAGATGATTGGCTGGATTGCCATGGGCCAGAACAGCAGTGGAGAGGAGGAGCAAGATCATTGGGAGGAGATGAAGGAAACCAAAGGCCAGCAGATCTGCAGATGGCACGCTTTGCTGGAATCCTAGGTTTGCTTGCCTGCATTTGTGTGCTGTGTCCACCTTGGTTACCTGTGTTGCTGTCTACTGACACCAAGTCAGTGTGTCCTGGCAAGGGTTTCAGGCTTTCAAAAACAGAATCCATTGACCCCTAGGACATTGTGAGTGGGAGTTTCAGGTTTCTCAGTGGTTTGATTTGGATTTAAACATTGTAATTTTAAAAACCCACATGCACAGTGAAGTGTCCATATGGAAAGTGTCATACCACAGTTAAGACCACTGATGAGTTAATATGTGCCAATAGATCATCAAGTTTTGGTTCAGGGCATGGGGTAAAGCTTCTCCTGCTGTCTTTGTTTGCTTGAAGAGTAACCTGAGATTGCAAGGGAGCTGTTAAATGTTACCATTTGCAACCATTTACGTGGATGAATCAGAATTTTCTTAATATGGTACCAAAAAAAACCCTCCAAAATATAGAAATGAATCAGATACTGAGGCTTATAGAAGAATCTAACTTTAATCCGTAAACTCTTACTTCACATTTTTCTCTTTATCAAAGAAACCTGAGCAATTGCTCAGTCACTTATTTACCTAACAAGTAAATATTATAAACTTGCACTTATAAAATAAATTTGTATTAATTAAATACCTCTTTTATCTTATATTTTATGGTTTCTATGAGATTTGGTTAAATGAATCATTTTGAAGCAAGAAAAGAGTTCAGAAACTACTGTTTTAAGACAACTTATCTCCTTTTGAATATGTAAGATTTCAAACTTGTAACTTTTAAGGTTTTTATGCTGTCTTTCTCAGCCAATAAGTTCTTACAGAATAAGAAGAAAACACACAAAAAAAAACCAAAACAAAACTATTCCAGTCATAGATTTATTCATTTTTCTGATTCTGGTGTTCTTTTGGATTATACTTTTTCTATGTTCAATTATATATACTCGTATATTAATATTTTGAATGTACTGCATGTAAACCATGCTCTTTTTAAATTGAGTATTTTCCATCACTAGAGCATAGTAAATTGCACACAGTGGGTCTTTAATAAATATCGATTTGACTGACTCTTCCAAGTGAACATGTTATGACACCTATAAGTGAAGAGTTATTTTCAGCTTGTGTGGAATGACATAAAATTTTTCTTTGAGCATTTGAAGTGCCTATAACTGTCACTTTTTATGGCATTTGCAGCAACATATATTAGTCACTAGTTGCAATCTGGGCATGTGCCATTGAGAACACTGATCTTGTATGGTTATGAGCATGGGATTTTACTTATTACTTACTTTTACATATTTATGCAGTGCATGTTATTTTCCTTATTCTCAGGCCTGGGCCCTTAATTTCAATTACTTACAATTGGCAGTAATAAAAAATAGGGAAAGAATATATGTACATTTAACCCTGTGCTCAATGTGCAGCCCTTCTGAGCAATTGCTCAGTCACTTATTTTTAGTTTCTGTGTTTCATTGTGGACTTTTTCCTGTCTGTGGGAAGAGTGATAGCTAGTGATGGCTGTGTACAGTTAAAAACACATAACTCCTCCTCAGCTCCACGTTTTGACAGATTGTAAGCGTAGGCTGTAACACTTGAAGAACATATTTATTCCTTACAGTGTGTAATGGTTATCCTGACAAGACCAGACTAGGGCACAGGATAACTCTACTATGCTTTCAGGGTTCGGTCTTTGAATGGAATGATTTCATACTGAAAAATGAGAATTTTCCAAATAAATTAATACCTTAAATACTTTTCAGGTCATGGGAGTTTCATATATATGACTGCTCAGTTATTAGGAATAAGTACTAAAACCATGCTCCTGTGGGTTTTTTACCCTACCTTTCTAAGGGAGACCTCAGAGTGCTTTTCCAGCATTATATCCATTAACTGCTGAGTGGTCTTTGCAGCGTGGCTAAGTCATTGAGTAGAACTGAGTGCGATTGATTAAGTAGCGGCACAAAGAATTGGCTTTTCACATCTCTTACTCTTTATGCCTTGTGTTTAAAGGGAAGTAGAACAGTCTTGCTATGCTTTCCTTTATGCAGTAACATAATAGCAGCATTCATTTTAAAATTTACATTTGAAAAAAATCTGTATGTATTGTACAGACAGCCCTGAATTTTTCCCTCTCATATTTCCCTACTCTACATGCTGCTGCATTCTTGTTTCATGATACCCAATAATCGCCCATACTTCATTTTCTGTTCCCAAGACCCACCCATTCTTAAGGTTTTCTGCTGGTGAGGTGAAGATATTGGTGTGTCTCATCTGCCTTCCAATGGTCTGCTTACAGGAAGGTGCAGCATTTTAAGGGAAGGAATGCCTGAAAAGCATTATTTATTTATTTTTATAATTTTACTGTGTTGGTGCTACTCACCAAATAGGATGCATGTACATCTTGAATATACGTCAACATTCACCCTCAGCTGATTGTATAAATCTAAAATGCTGAAGACAAGATACATTATAATATGTGGCTGATTTTTTTTTACCTTGATTTGAAATTCTAGTTTAGTAAGATCTTTTGATTTTGTGCACTTACACTCCCTTATTTTCTTGGCAAAGTCTAGACATAAATGCATTTAACATGTTTTTCACTTGAGCTTTTACATTTGGTTTTCAAAAGAGTTATGAAAGATAATTAGTTGGTTCTACAGTGAAAAAAGTCTGCTTTTGCCTGTTTCTTCTAGCTAATGATTAATATCTCATTGGGAGATTTGACGTTGACGCAGCCCTGGTTTTTGTTGCATGAGTAGGTCTTTCAGCGATTTTGCCTGAAGAGCATGCTTTCAAAATAATATTGTTAAGAGTAAATGATGCGCTGGGTTTATGGAAATCTGCTTTATAGTGTGCCTTCTTTTCTGGTGTGAGTTTACACTGAATTGAGAAACGCTGGTTTCACCAATTATGGTGGTGGCTGTTGTACTCCCTGCTCCTCTCTGACTATTGTTGAATTTTTAAATGGACCATTCAGCAGGCAGCCAAACACCTGCTCTCCGTTCCCTCTCCTTCACTGGCTCCCAGTGTGATGCATAGTTGTTTTGGACTCTGTTTTAGCTGATGCTGCATAACTGTTGGAGGTGGGGGTGTCTTGCCTTCCCTAACATCAGAAGAATTTGTAATGCCTTTGGATGTGTTATACTCGGCATTCCACCCGCATGAAATCTGGGAAAGAATCATCACCATGTTTATGAGAGGAAAAAGAGTATGGTATTGCATAGTCATTCACTTTAGGCACTATTAATTCTGACATCCTTTACTGACAATTAACTGACATCAAATGTCAATATTCTCCATAGTCTTAGGTGCTAGTGAGGCCGAAACACAGCTTCTGGCTTTTCAATGTGTAGATTTCATAATATTGTATGAATTATTGTTACCTCTTGGGCAGTCACTGTGCTTTAGATGATCTTATCGGAGAACCAAAATTCATTTCTTTCCAGATGAAGTACTATTTAAGTAGAAACTAGCATCAGGTTAAATAAAAGTGCTTCTCTGATATCCACCAATTTGATTTAATTGATGATTCAGTGTGGACATCTCTGTGGGTTTCCTAAAAACCTGGCTATCCTTTTGCAGCAGAGGACTTAGTATATTAAAAGCAGAAAAGTGAGTAGGAAAGGATTATTTGTAAATGTCATAAAACCAGATGGAGGCATATTCTTTACTGATAAAGAAACAGGATTAGAACACGCATGTGGTATCTCCTTTTACTTTTGAGGAAAATGTGGTTAAAGAACATTCCATTCTATTTAAGACCAAAGCAAAGGATAGATAATCCTGAAATGGCAAAAGTATTTTTGTCTCAAAAATTGTTCATTTAGGCAAAGCCATTTACAACAGAATAAAAACCAAAAGGTTATATGGCATGCCTATGGAAAAATTAAATAATAAATAAACGTGTTGGATGCATTTAGCATCCTCCAGGGAGTAGTATGCAAGGAGAGTAAACTAATAAGCCAAAAGACATTTCAACTAGCTATCACATGTCTAAAAATTGTAGAATTCTGAAAAATATTTAAAGATGAAAGAAATGAACCTGTTCTAAAACAATGAGATTGGCATAGCACAGCAAAGTTGGTACAAACTGTGATCTTAGCCTGGGTTTACATGAAACTCTGCTGTGTGGCCTTAAGAAAATTACTTAGCCAGCCTGTGTCCTGGTTTCTTCAACTGGAAAATGGAAATAATACCTACCTCATTAGGTGTCTTAAAAGATATCAGCGAAATCACAGATGTAATGTGCCTACCGTAGAGCCTGGCATGGAGTTAGCATTCCATAGTTCCTCCTCACAGTCATGCTTGAAAAAGAAAATATTGAAGGTGTATCTTCTCTTTCTAGCAAAAGTTATTATAACACGAGAGAAAAATGAAAACCAATTTTCAGATAACTGTAAAAAGGACAGGCTCATGAACCCAGGCTGGATTTGTAAATAAAGAGGCTTCATCAGGACAGCCTAATCAAAGATAAGCTTGGTATGTGGAGGAAACTGAGCCTCAATAGCGTCCAACTGTGGTATAACCAAGCCTTTGCATTTATCTCCTTCGTTTGGAGGAAGTGCAAAACCTTGAGCGTTTGTGTGTACGTCTTGCTCGATCACACACAAGGCCTCTCCTTGTCCCCAGCTCTCCATTCAGGCATGGACAAGCACCTTGTTGCCATCATCAAGAGTGGGTGATAATGGCAGTTTGACTACATATTTCAACGTCGATCCAAAAAAGTAACATAAATGATGTGATTTTATACTGACACTCTTTAAAAAATGGATAACACTTTCTTTAAAACCTACATTATATATCCATTTTATATCCTGATAGGCAAACATTTTAAAATAGTCTAATAACACAAACTTATCTGACCAGAATGCTCTATTCAGAACAAATTACTTATCTCTGTTTCCCTTATGAGATCATAATGAAAGAAATTCTATCAGTTGATACTTCTTTTTAAAATGGTTTTTAAGAGTGGCTTGTTGATATAATAGCATGCTCACTTGTTCTCAAGTGATTTAAACCTTGAGTAAAGAGGAGAGTTTCTGGAGAATTTAGAAAAATCTTTGTTGACATTTAATCTAGAGAAGTCTTCAGGAGCAAACCACTTCAAGTTTAGTGTAACCGGGTGCCATGAATCAGTCATGTGCTATTTGTGGTTTTAAACAAAACATGATTCTGGGATGGGGAAGTGCGAGGCTGCACTCCTAATATCATCAGATTGCCAAAGTACTGTTTTGAGTCCTAGGTATCCCAATTAAGGAGAAACATGAAGACATTGAAGAATCACTTTAGCCTAGGGCTTTTAGTAGAGAATAATTAAACATGTAGGGAAGGTGAAGGAGTTAGATGGGAGGGGAGAAGGCTGTGGAGTGATTTCTGGTAACAATGATCCAGAAGTTCTAACCAGGGGGATGGTGCACACTTTCTCTTCTTGACCACACGGATAGATTTCAGAGCATCCCCCTAAATCGAGTCTGGAGAATTATGTCAAGGTTGTTTCTCATTAATTCAAATTGTATTCATTGTCTAGCACTATGCTCTTTGGGGTGGCACAGAACTTAAAATCATAGATTTCAGATAGATGGATTTCAAAGCATCCTCCTAAATTGAGTCTAGATAATTATGTCAAGGTTGTTTCTCATTAATTCAAAATGTATTCATTGTCTAGAACTATGCTGTTTGGGCTGGCACAGAACTGAAAATCTCTATGGAGTGCTATGAGTGCACATTGAAGCTGTTAGTCATCATTATACAATAATGCTTACCAATATACAATTGTTAAGTTAGTCTAACTATATGCCATAAAAAGTAATGTTCCTTGTTATGAGTATTGGAAGAAGGTGAAACATGGCTGAACTTATTGGGGCAAGTGTTTAGGAAGCCTTGGACTGGTAGGGAGCCTTGGTTGCATTATAGGGGCAACTGCCAAGGTGGGGATGGGGGTAGGGAGTCACAGAATCATCATCTTTGGAAATTTTTTAAAGTAGAAAATTGTGCTTGAATCTTGGTTCTGTCTAAAGAAGAATGGGAGGACACCCAGGAATATACGCTTTATAAAATTCCTTCTAAGTCTAATATTTATGTGTAACATTAAAAAGGAATCAACAATAATAACACTCCAGGCCTGTCCTCTTCCACTGTGGATCTTTTTTCCACATTGATTTTTCTCTGCATCATAGAAAGTTTTCTCTGAAGAGTTCCTATTTCGGTTTTGTTTAGGGCTTTGGGGATGCCTGCAGGCTCAGGGGGAGTTTCCTCTCCTATGGTGCTTCCACTGTTTTTGTTTCCCTTGGGTCACAAAACAGTATCCTAGACACATAGACAATAATCACCTTATTTATATCCACTGTGGAACCTGTGAAACAGCTCAAGGCTTTATGGAACAAGCTCATAGATAGACATGGAGGTCTGAGGCCCTTCTTAGAATGAAGCTGCTCAATCACTGACTGCTTTCCACTAATGCTGCCTTAAGGTTTCTCTGGGAGAGTTTATACTTCATGCCTTTGAGTGACAGTGTTAACTGTTTTGAGGATGATGAGAAGGCTGACTTCCCATTGTATTACCATGTTTATGCATTACTTTTGTTTACTTCAGTTCCCCCTGGAAGTATCTGGTTGCTGTTTTTGTGTTTTAGTTTATGCAAAATTTATTCATTCAAAAAGAACTTTCTAGGTTGGGGTGGTGGCTCACGCCTGGAATCTCAGCACTTTGAGAGGCCAAGATCGGAGAACAGCTTGTGTCCAGGATTTCTAGACCAGCCTGGGCAACATAGTGAGATCTCATCTCTACAAAATATAAAAAATTTGCCAGGTATGGTAGTGTGCACCTATAGTTCCAGCTACTCAGGAGGCTGAGGTGGGAGGATCACTTGAACTTGTGAAGTCGAGGCTGCAGTGAGCTATAATCATGCCACTGCATTCAGCCTGGATAGCAGCGTGAGACTCTGTCTCAAAAAAAAAAAAAAAAAAAAAAATAGAAAAGAAAAGAAGAACTTTATTAAGTGTAAATGTTTCAGACTTAGGTTGGAGAAAGGCTGATGGATAAAACAGTTTAAGTTCAACAATATATTTTTTTGTTTCTAAATATTCTTTTTAAAAACTAGATTCTGATAAGAAATCCAGGTAAACAATCTTTTATTAGCCTTGAATTTTTGGCTTAATGTATTTCGGTAACTGTCACTTTCCCACTTTGACAGGCAGAGGATTTAGGGAAGGTGAAAGTTATTGCCCTGTCTCTAATTAAGAAATAGATACGCTTGTTTGTCAGTCTATGCTTCCATTCAAAATAAGTGCATACATTTCGTATCTGGAGAAGAAATGCAGTGTTCCATTTCAGCAGTGAAAAGAATTATAGCATCAAATGGGATATTTAGTATTCTTGACTTTTATAATTGAATACTGAATGCTGTTTGCAAGTCAGTAAGTTAGAACCTGGAATACTAAGTCTGTACAAACTTGACACATTTCTTCCAAGCTCTGTGTTTTAATAGTCAAAGGCATTGCTACCCTTTGCTTTTTGAAAGAGTGAAATGGAAACAGTAGCTGCTAGATAAATAGGTGACAATCTAAACAAAGAGCCCTGCTTACCTCTCTGTGACTACAACTAGTCTTAAAAACTGAATACATTTGGGGCATCCTTATGAAATAGGTAAAGGTCAACACTGGGAGTATCCCTACCTTGGCAGATGGAGCAATACTTTTTCTCCAGACTCAGCCAATTTTTAAAGCAGGAGTTTTCCAGTGGATTAATTGCTTATAATTCTACTAAACATGTCTTAGTCCATGCAAATTAACTCAAAATCTTTGATGGCCTAAAAATTCTTACCGCAAGCAAGTTTTTAGTGTTTCCCAATTCATAGTCTATAATAAAAAAGTGTACATATCCTGTTTAATAAATACCTTGGTGTTTGAGAATATCAGAAGTCTGCCAGTAAAAACTCTGAGTGAGGAACATGTACATTAAAAGATATTTTTATGGGCCGGGCGCGGTGGCTCACGCCTGTAATCCCAGCACTTTGGGAGGCCTAGGCGGGTGGATCACGAGGTCAAGAGATCGAGACCATCCTGGTCAACATGGTGAAACCCCGTCTCTACTAAAACTACAAAAAGTCAGCTGGGCATGGTGGCACGTGCCTGTAATCCCAGCTACTCAGGAGGTTGAGGCAGGAGAATTGCCTGAACCCAGGAGGCGGAGGTTGCGGTGAGCCGAGATCGCGCCATTGCACTCCAGCCTGGGTAACAAGAGTGAAACTCTGTCAAAAAAAAAAAAAAAAAAGATATTTTTATGTAAGTTATTTTAAGATAGTTGCATTTTTAGGGCCATGTTTCTTTGTTGAGAATATTTCTTTGTCAAGTTCCTTATAGTCAATGCCTTGACCAAAGCTTATTAATTTTGCCACATATCCTTGTGGGTTATAATAATCTTTATTAATTCACAACTCTACCAAATTATAATATAGTTTTTTATTATGCCACCATACAAATGCAGCTGCAAATTCAATTTTATTGTGAAATACAAAATGCTTTCCAGAATTTTAAAACTTAATTTCAATATAGATTTTAAGTTTGTGAACAAGAAATTAGGATTTACATACCTTCTTATGGCAGAGGTTTCTCTTATAACATTTTCTGTTATAGTATTGGGATAAGATTTGACCTGTATTTTCAGGTAAAAGCTGGTCTTTGAGATCTACTTTTTAAGAAATTAATAAATTTTATCTTTTAGAGTTTTAGGTTCACAACAAAACTGATCATAAAATATAGAGAGTTCTCATTATACTCCACACACAACCCTCTCTCCCAGGAACATTTTTGAACACCACACTGGTGTATTTGTTACAGTTGATGAACCTCCACTGAATATCATTATTACCCAAAGTGCATAGTTCATATTAAGGTTCATTCCTGGTGGTGTGTATTTTATGGGTTTTGACCAATGTACACTGACATATATCTATTATTGTCGTATCATACAGAGGATTTTCACTGCCCTAAAAAATCCTCTGTGCTCTGCCTATTCGTTCCTCCCTCCCACCAAAGCCCTGGCAACCACTGGTCCTCGTACTGTCCCCATAGTTTTGCCTTTTCCAGAGTGTCATATAGTATGTAGTCTTTTCAGATTGGCTTTTTTTCACTTAGGGATGGTCTTGTAAGTTTTCATGTCTTTTTATAGCTTGATAGTTCATTTATTTTAAGTGCTGAATAATATTTCATTGTCTGGTTATATCATTGTTTATGACCTATTTGCTTTTATTTCTAGTTTCAGTTGCTACGGCAAATTTTATTAATGTGTGTGCTCTCAGGAGAAGCTTCATATACTTCATATGATCCATCAAATAAAATATGGCAACTTCTAGTCTAGAATAAACTTCATCTATATGATATTGAGCTTTTTTTACATTGGAGGAGAAGATTATGAAAAAAATCTCATAATTTCTTAATTTATGTTACCCTATCTATGAGCTTTTCCCTCCACTGGAATCTAAACAGAAAGTTCTGAAGGTTACTAAATTTGTGATCCCAAATTTAGTGACTCTCTGTGTCTTCTCTTGTTGAGCAATGAGTTAAATACCTGTAGATAAAAAGTGCTGATTATGTTATTACTGATTCATGACAGAAAATCACCATCTGTTGCTAGTTTATATGACTTTACATTTACCACTCCTGCCAAGAGAAACGGAAGCTTTGTGGTTGTGCCCCGTCATAGTCAACTGTACAAATCAATTAAAAATGGTATGTAAGCATATAGATCACACAGCAGCTCTGAATTCTGAATGAAAAGATAACCCATGTATAGGTTGCACGCAAAAGTAGATGGGTGTTGGAAATATAACACCGATAGTCATACTGGGTGAGTGGGGAGGCCTAACCAATGATCAGTATCTTAGAAACATTTTGAGATTATTTATATGCCTTCAGACTACCCTTTTGTAGCTGCAGCAACTTGCAGAACCTGGTATTATTGAAGGTATAGTTAGTTGTGTAAAGAATATTGGGTTAAGATAGATGAGGCTTGTGTTCTGATATCAAGTCTTCCACTAATGAGCTCTAAAATAAATGTCAAGTCACGATTTCTTCAAACCTTCATTGTTGCATCTATTAGATGGGAATAGTAATACTCTTTTACCTATTTTTACCAGGTGGTTGTAGGAACAGGATTAATTCATTCCTTCATTAATGTAAGGAACGCTTTGAGACCCCACTACATATCAGTGCCATAAGTATGACAAGGTGATAGATGGAAAGACGTTTTGCAGAACTTTTGAAGACTTGCAGTGTTTTTGAAGACTACAGGATAGTTATTTTTATATTAAGGTCATATCAACTCTTTATGTTGACATATCAAAGTAATTGACACTTTTAGAGCTCTGCCAATCAATGGCCCATATTTCTAGAATGTCAATAATTTGTCTGAATTTAAGTTATGGTATAATGGTCTTTAGCTGTTCTGTCTCTGAGAAGATAGAAACAAAGTATTAGGTCCTAATTTTTTTTTTTTTTAACACTGATCATACAACAAATTGTAAATCCACGTTTTCAGCAGGTTCACCAACCTTTGAGTTGAATGCAAACATTTCTTTAGAACAATCTAACTTTGAGTGCAGGCAAAGTATTAATGGAATAGCTTTTCCTCCACCACGAAGTGGATTTGAATACAGTACTTAGAAAAATTCTTACCCTGCCAAAAAAGGTCCTTCAATCTACTTTATTGTTTTTCTTTTGAAGAATCAGTCTTGTCCATCTCTCTCCTCCCAAGTGACTTTCCTCACTCACATAATCATTTTCTTTATAAATGCCCTTTTATTATTGCCAGAAAAAAGTAAAGATTTAAAAAATCATTTTTAAGGTACATCCAAGATTTCATTGCAATATTTTATTTGTGTTCACAGTGCAAGATAAATCTGACTCTTTCTCAATTTTTTTTGGTCTTCATATGGCATCTGAAACAGTTGTTCACATTCACACATTTACGTTTCACCATATGCATACTGTGTGCAGCTCTGTTGTTTTAAAATATTTTATTGGTTTTCCTTTATATCTCAACTTTTGATGGGTGTCCTTGAAGAACTTTCATGAAAAAAATGTAAATGTGAATGATTCATTCATTTTGAACATATGTAGCTATTTCAGGAGATTTTCAGGAGATTTTACCCTACATGGAGTACACTGTTCTTAGCAGGGAATGTGCTTTATATTACTATTCTACTCACAGCTGGATGCTGCAGATGTGATTAACATTGTAAACATGTACTTTTTCTATTCTATGCTTACTTTAATACATTATTTATATGTACTAGACTGCTGGGTTTTGGTGGTTGTCAAAGGTAGTTAATTTCATAAATTTCACTTTGGCGGATAGTTAAGTATAACACGGTTTAGTATAAAATCTGGTCTTCCTGTAGTTTTCTAGGTCACTAGAAGAATTTCTTGGCAAATTGATTGTTGAAGGCCAGTTCTGTTGTAAGGTAGAAGCCACCCCGAACCTCTCCCAATGTTTCATTGGCATTTTTAGAGCTGGATGCTGTTATAGTTCCTCCTCTAGTTTTCCAGTAGAGAATTCCTATGTGGTCCAGAGGTTCAAGAGAGAGAAAAAAATTTTTTTCTCTTAAAGAATTGAATCTTTGTTTTAG